ATCTATCTATCTATCTATCTATCTATCTATCTATCTATCTATCTATCAATCAATAATCTGCCATGGTGACACTGTGGTGAGAATGCAGTATTGCAGGCTAATTCTGCCCACAGCCAGCAGTTCGATCCTGACTGGCTCCAGGTTGACTCAGCCTCCCATCCTTCCAAGGTCAGTAAAATGAGGACCCAGATTCTTGGGGGGGGGGGAACGGACGGACAATAGGCTGAATCTGTAAACCCCTTCGAAACGGCCGTAAAAGCCCCGTGAAGCAGTATCTAAAGGGCTATTGCTATACAAGTGTCAACTCACAAGTCAACGAGTTTCTGCTCACAAGGCTGTTTCCATTTGCAACCGAGTTGTCCAGTTTGACCAGACAATTTAACGAGGGCCAGTGATTGGCAAATAAACTGCATTTGCTGCCAGGGAAACAGACAGGGATTAAGCAGACTGAGAGAGGGAATTTTATTACATCATAGCTTCCAAATTTATTAAGAAACGAGGACAACTTCCCCATATCCCCAGGGCTAGTTATTTGAGCTTTTATTTACACAGAAGTCTTGACCGGTTGATGGATAGATCACGTTACCACACCGCCCTTCTCACTTGAGCGACGTCAAGGGATTTCTGCGGTCTGTCCATCCGTTTCGTGCCCTACCCACTTTTTTTTGCAGCAAACAAATCCCGAGACTTTGCTTCTTGACCTTCCTCACCTTCCCTTTTTTCTCCTTGCAGTGGACCCCTGCTGTTCTTTCCCGTGCCAACACAGCGGTTTGTGCGTCCGGGTTGGCACGAAGGGCTACGAGTGTGACTGTACCCGGACAGGATACTATGGCACCAACTGTAGCTCCCGTGAGTATCGCTTCTGACTCCTGTGTGCAGGTAAGGGGTGTGTGCATGTACACACACACACACACAGATATCGAGGCACAGAACCTTCAAGTTCAGAGGCAGTCTACCTTAGTGTATCCCCCGCACTGCCCAGAACGGAGAAGCGAAGCTTCCTAGCGGTTCGTCTCCGTAGTAAATCCTCCAAATGGGACGCCTTTAGAGAAATATCTGTGGGTTTGTCTAAAAACGACGTCTCTGGGCCCCCAGCGGAGTTCTGGACGTGGCTGCACGACGCCCTGAAGCCGAGCCCGTCTTCCCTTCACTACCTCCTGACCCATTTCCGCTGGTTGTGGAGTGCCGTGAATCGGACTTTCCTCCGAGGTCTTTTGATGCGAGTGGTGTTGACCGGTGAGTGGGCTCCGATGGGCACATGCAGTGGGGGGGGGGGATTCCAATTTTTTTTTAACTACCGGTTCTGTGGGCGTGGCTTGGTGGGCGTGGCAGGGGAAGGAGACTGCAAAATCCCCCTTCCCTCCCCACCCCACTGACCTGCTTTCCAGCTCCGTTCTCCTGGGCAGGGCAACCAAAGGAGACCCAGCCGATCGGCAAAGACTCCATGGGAGGCGGAGAAGAGATGGGGTTGGCGGGGCCAGTCGGAGGCGGGATTGGCCAGATCTCTGAACGACTCCAAATTTCCACTACTGGTTCTTGAGAACCGGTCCGAACCGGCTGAAGACCCACCTCTGGGCACATGTTTTGGGAAGGTTCCCCGTCCGATTGGGCTTGAGAGGCTCACCCGGCCTGGACCCCTCCTCCAGCTGGCAGTCTTGGGACCCCTCCTGCTCCCCCTACAAGCCCGCCATGCCCCCTCTCCGAATTCTCTTCCCCCTTCCTGCCTCCCGCCCTGCAGCCCGCGCCACCCTGATCCCCAGCCCGCCCACCTTCAGCGGCAACTACGGGTACCTGAACTGGGAATCCTACAGCAACCTCAGCTACTTCACCCGCATCCTCCCGCCGGTGCCCCCCAACTGCCCCACGCCGATGGGGCTGAAAGGTACTGCAGGGGGGCAGCTCTGCCAGGAGAGGGAAGAGGAGGAGGAAGAGGAAGATGGAGGGGACAGGGAGGGGGAGGAGGAAGTGGAGGAGACGGTGAGAGGGAGACGAAGAAGAGGAAGAGGAGAAGGGGAGGAGAGGGAGCGGGGAGGAGGGGGAGAGGAAGGGGGAGGCAAAGGAAGAAGAAGAGGAAGAAGAAGAGGAAGAGGAGGAGGATGAAGAGAGGGAGAGGGAGCGGGGAGGAGGGGGAGAGGAAGGGGGAGGCAAAGGAAGAAGAAGAGGAAGAAGAGGAGGAAGAGGAGGAGGATGAAGAGAGGAAGAGGGAGCGGGGAAGAGGGGGAGGGAGATGACAAGGAGAAGGAGGGGGAGGAAGAAGAGGCGGAAGAGGGAGGGGGAGGGAGGGGGGGAGGAGGGGACTGGCACACGCCAAGAGACCAGGCTCGGGCAGGGCTGTCCTCTCTACCCCACAGGACCCCCGGAGCTGCCAGAAGCCGAACTGGTGGCGGAAGAACTTTTGCTGCGCCGGACTTTCCATCCAGACCCACAAAGGACCAACCTGATGTTCGCTTTCTTCGCCCAACACTTCACGCACCAGTTCTTCAAGACGTTCGGGAAGATGGGGCGCGGATTCACCCGGGCTCTGGGCCACGGGGTGAGGAGGGGAGCGGGCAGGGAGGCGACTTTCATCTGCCCAGGTTAACATCAACTTGGCGGAGAGGCTGTTGTGGGCAGATCCTGAGGTGGGGAAAGGCCACGCTTAGCACCCCCCAAAAGAGAAATTTGGAGGCCTGATGGGGAAACTCCTGGGGAGGGCAGGTCCCAAGCCCCCGGAATTGATTCAAGGGTCCCCCAACATTTCGGGGGGGGGGAGGGTGTTTCAGGGGTGGGATTCAAATTTCTTAACAATCGGTTCTGTGACTGATTATGTGACTGGGTGCTCATGGTTGCTGACTGGGCATGGCTTAGTGGTCATGTGACTGGCTAGGTGTGGCTTGTATGTAAATATTGTAAATATGTAAATATTGATGTTTTTATAAAAAAAGAGAGCAACTTTTACCCAAAATCAGGCAAAGAGGCAGGCAGATTGACCTGCTCACAGAATCACAGATTCACCCAGAGATCTATCTTTCTGCAATCTGCTACCTGTCACATAAAATTTGCTTGCAAGCAAACTCATAAAATTAACTCACAACACACCATATGTGTAAATATTTTTTTTTATAAAAAAGAGCAACTTTTACCCAAAATCAGGCAAAGAGGCAGGCAGATTGAGTTGCTCACAGAATCACAGATTCACTCAGAGATTTACCTTTCTGCCATCTGCTACCTGAGTCTGCACTGAAAAATAGAAGCTTCAGTCCTAAGGAAGGTTCAGCTCCGCTTTTAGATTAGCTGGAAAGCAAGAAATCCAACGATCTAAACCTTCTGGCACAGGAGAACAGCTGATGGTCAGGGGTAAAAAAAAGAAAAATAGCAACTTACCAAAAATTTAGGTGAAGGCACGAGGCAGGCAGGTGGGCGGAGCGGGGCCAGGCAGTAGTGAGATTTGCCTGTTTCCAAACAACGCAGAATCATAACAACCGGTTCTATAGAACGGGTCTGACCAGGTAGAATCCCACCCCTGGGCTGCTTGGCTTAGTCCACCCTAGTGTCACTGGCTGGTCTTGAAAGGAAGCAAGCACCACCAAACAGCGTGGATAAAAATAATTCCTTCCTCCTCCCAACAGCAACCTAAAATGATTAACACACACAACCTGGTCTTCTGCGTTTTCTTGTGAAAGCTTTGCCACAAAACACACCTCCGGGAAATTATCCTCAAAAGTCCAAGCACCTTTTTGCAGAAAGGGGAAAAAAAAAATGTGCCCGGTGGACCATAAACCACAAAAGAGCAGCTGGGGATGAGGGTTTATAGAGTTTCCTTCCACCCTTCCCCTGTGTCTGGTCCTCTCTCGGCCCCGCCCTCCAGTAACTTCTCAAACTTTTGAGATTATTGAATCCTCTCTCTCTCTCTCTCTCACACACACACACACATACGCTTGCGCAGACCCAAAGGAGGGAAAGAAATGACTCACCTGTTATGCTGGCTCTTTCCTGCAGGTGGATCTGGGCCACATCTACGGAGACAACCTGGAGCGCCAACATCAGCTGCGCCTCTTCAAAGATGGGAAGCTGAAATACCAGGTAAGAAAGTTGAACAAAACTCCCTTGTAGCCCGAGAAAAATCTTTTAACTCGGAGGAAAAGTTTGGGCCAGACCATGGATTTCATTCCACCCCTCCACCCCTCTATTGGGGGGCATGCTGGCAGATGCCTCACGCTTTCACAATCCTCCCCATTTGATGGACCACTCTGTCTCTCTCATTCCCAGCCAGCAGGGGAGGATGGGAGTTGGAGTCCAGGATGAAGAAGAGTCTGACAGCCCCCCTTGTCTACCTCCTCTCTACTTTAGGGGGATTTAGCAACGGGAAGGGCCCACCTTTGCCTGCCCAGATGTGCTTCTTTGCAGTAAATAAAACACAATGCAATAATGTGTAAGAGCAAACCCTGAAGCTAAGAATCTTTAACAGATTAACAGAGTGGGAAGGGACCTTGTAGGTCATTTAGTCCAACCCGCCACCCAAGCAGGAGACCCTAACACCATTTCTGACAGAGGTGTTGTGGTTAGCCGGCAGCCGGTGTAGACGGCTGAGGAAAGCAAAGACTCAGATGAGGGGCAAGGACCATTAGGGAGTGGGGGGCTGCCTTCAGAGATTGTGGGGGGCTGGCAGCAGCGATGAGGAGGTTCCCGAGGAGCCTGTGCCAAGTGTGCGTGTGTGCGTGCAGGGTTGTTCGCAGGAAAGAGCAGCTACAACAGCACGGGTGAGTGGTTCAAATGCCGCATCGCAGGCTAACTCTGCCCACTGCCAGCAGTTCGATTCTGATCGGCTCAAGGTTGACTCCCATCCTTCCGAGGTGGGCAAAATGAGGACCCCCGATTGTCGGTGATAATAGGCCGACTCTGTAAACGGCTTAGAGACAGCGGTGAAAGCACTACAAAGGGGCACACAAGCCTAAGGGTTAGTGCTAAGTGTCATCCTTTGCTCTTCTCCCCCCCCATCCCAGCTGATTAAGGGAGAGATGTACCCCCCAACAGTGATGGAAGCCGCCGTGCACATGATCTACCCGCGAGGCACCCCTCCGGAGCAGAGGTTTGCCATGGGCCAGGAGGTCTTTGGTCTCCTCCCGGGCCTCCTGATGTACGCCACCCTCTGGCTGCGGGAGCACAACCGTGTCTGTGACTTGCTGAAGCAGGAACACCCCACCTGGGATGACGAGCAGCTCTTCCAGACCGCCCGGCTCATCCTGACAGGTGGGCGCGGGGAGGTGGGAGGGGGGCTGCAGGGAGTCCTAGCCGCCTGTCATAGGAATTCGGCCTTTACAGGAAGTCCCAAACCGGCGACGTTGTGAACTCATAAAATGTTTCTATGGTGGGTTTTTTTTTTTTGAAGAGTTGCCAACGGAAAGCGGGGTGGGAGGGGTTTTGAAAGGGCAGTGCGGCAGCTCGGAAACAGAAAGTGCATTCCATAGATAGTTTTTCAAAGATAGTAACTCGGCGACCCAAGTTTCCGCCGTGCAAATATCTAACTGGAGAGCTTGATTGATGACTCTGGGCTACGGAGGGGTCCCATTGGAGAATACGAATTAGGATACACCCAGAGGGGTGGGGGGGCGTGGGGGGAAAACCAGGGTCAAGGGTGACAATGGATGATGTCGGCTACACCCAGGCAGTGCCGGACATGTTAACTCCTTTTGAAGTTTTGGAAGTTTGGCTCGAGACGCATGATTTAAACGGGCTTAACCGCCAGAATCCTGACAGCCATGTAAATAAGCTATTATTTGACTACCATCCCAGCTCGTCGCTGTTTCAGAAGGTATTGTAGATGCCTTCACAGCCACAGGCCATTTCCAACTGGAGTGGTCGCCGTAAAAAATTGGCCGCGGCTACAAGGGAGCCTCCGTGGCGCCTCTCACAGGTGTTTTCCCTCCACCCTCCGCTCTTTCCAGGTGAGACGATCAAAATTGTCATTGAGGATTACGTCCAGCATCTCAGCGGCTACCACCTGAAGCTGATGTTTGAGCCCGAGCTTCTCTTTGGGACCCCGTTCCAGTACCAGAACCGCATCGCCCTGGAGTTCAACCAGCTGTACCACTGGCATGCCTTAATGCCAGATTCTTTCCAGCTGCCAGACAGAGAATACACTTACGACGAATTCCTTTTCAACAACACCATTCTGACCCAGTACAGCCTAGAGACCCTGGTCGAGGCCTTCTCCAAACAGCGAGCGGGGCAGGTGGGTCAGTGGCCAGAACTGGGGGCGCGAGAGGGGGGTGGGTTCCAGACGGTCTTTTGTTTGTAGCATGCGATGCCTCAGTGCCAGTCCACAGCCTGGGTGTTGGGCGCCCCTGGACTAGAAATGCGCCAACTTCTGAGCAAACTTTATCTCCTACTCAGAAAGTCCCATTTGACATTTCACGACCCAACTAAAGTACATCATCAGTGCATACCAAAAGGAGGCCAAGCACCAGATGGGCTAGCCCAGGGGTAGGGAAACTTGGCTTTTGGATCACTTATGGACTTCAACTCCCAGAATTCCTGAGGGAGCCATAAAAGGCTCCCCATCCCTGGCCTGCTGGTTTTTTCACTTGTGTGGGACATATTCTTTATATATTCTTTCTATGTCCTACGTTTGTAGAATTAAACAGTCCCATTCAAGTCAAAAAATGGATTTCCCCCACAACTGAAAAACCAGTCGGCCAGGGATTGGGGAACCTTTTCGGGAATTCTGGGAGTTGAAGTCCATAAGTGATCCAAGAGCCAAGTTTCCCTACCCCTGGGCTAGTCTAAAGAAAATAAGGACTAGGGGGGGCATGATAGCAGCCTTCCAGTATTTGAGGGGCTGCCACAAAGAAGGAGGAATCAACTTATTTTTCCAAAATACCACCAGAAGGAATGGGTGGAAACTAATCAAAGAGAGAAGCAACCTGGAATTAAGGAAAAATTTCCTAACAGTGAGGAGGACAATTAACCAGTGGAACTGCTTGCCACCAGAAATGGTGGGTACTTCATCCCTGGAGGTTTTTAAGAAGAGACTGGACAGCCACCTGTCTGAAATGGGATAGGTTTCTCCTGCTTGAGCAGTGGGGGGACTAGAAGACCTCCAAAGGTCCCTTCCGTCTCTATTCTGGTTGATCTAAGTTGCCTCTTTCCCTTCTCTTTTCTTAAAGAGGGTTTGGGTAACAGGTAAGGTCTCCCTCGTTCCTCTTTGTTGGTTTTTTTTTAAAGATCTCATTTGTCACTTATTTGGGGGCATTGAAATGAAATTTATCCAAAATGCCCCCCTAAAAGGGGGGAAGGGGGGAACCTTTGCTCTGTCCAGAGCTGAAGGATTTTTGTGGCTTCCTGTTTCAAGCGCAGGCAAGTCGCTGACGTTCTGCTGGAAGTCTCAGGTTACAGATCAAAATCAGAATAGAACAGAGCTGGAAGGCACCTTGGAGGTCTTCTAGTCCAGCCCCCTCTCAAGCAGGAGATCCTATGTCATTTCAGACAAGTGGCTCTCAGTCTCTTCTTAAAACCCCCAGGGTTGGAGCATTTACAACTTCTTGTGGCAAGCTGTCCCACTGGTTAATTGTCCTTCCTGTCAGAAAGTTTCTCCTCAATTCCAGGTTGCTTCTCTCTTTGATGAGTTTCCATCCGTTGTTTCTTGTCCTGCCTTCAGGGGCTTTGGAGAATAAGCTGAGACCCTCCTTTTCCATGGCAGCCCCTAAAATGCTGGAAGGCTGCTCTCGTGTCTCCCCAGTCTTTCATTTCTCTGGACCAGCCAAGCCCAAATCCTGCAGCCGTTCTTCGTCTGTTTTATGAAGGGAAATACTGTTACTTCCTAGATCTAGAGACGCGCTTTTATCGAGCAATTTTTTAAAAATTGACCTTGACAAAGGACCTTCTTCGGTTCTCCTTTTCAGATTGGCGGGAAGCCAAATATCAACAAGAACCTTCTGAAAGTGGCAATTGGAACAATCAAGGAATCACGGCTGATGCGTTTCCAGCCTTTTAATGAGTACCGAAAGAGGTTCCATCTTAAGCCGTACACGTCCTTCCGGGAATTGACAGGTACTATCCCCAGAAAAATATCTCAAGGTCACTGAAGTGTCCTTGAGCCTTCTTGAGAAAAAAAAACTGGCTTGCCCATATTGGGTGCAAGAATGAGGACGTGTTGTAGCCTGTTGGTCCCTCCGGCCACTGAATCAGAGAAAGAGGCGGCATGGGAGTTAGGGTCATCATCAAGGCAACCTGGGAGCTCTGAGGGGGAAGAGGGAACGGAGCTGGGAGAGGGAGGGGGGAGGGGGGGGGAGGGGGAGAGAGGGAGGTAGAACCTGGGCCATCCTTCAGCCCTCAGATGGAGAGTCAAGAGCCCCCAGGTCTGGAGGTGGCTGATGAGGAAGAGGAGGAACAGCTGGGTCCAGTGCCTGACACACGGATGCACAAAATGCAGAGGAGAGGAGGGCAGTGGAAATCTATGGGCCGGTCCTTGGGACCGAAGAGCCACTGCTGCTAGCGAAGCCCCCACCTCAGCTCTGGGGATAAAAGGCAGGGGGCAGAGATGAATAGATGGGGCAGACAACTATTTATCTTCTGGCCAGACAGACTTGTTAGCCCGTGGTGAGAGAGAAACGTTTTGCCGTGGCTGCTGGCGCTCCTGATAAAAGAATAATTAAAACTACAGAGGGTTTGTCGTGTTTTGGGGAGCTCGGTCAGGACAGAACATGCCTCTACCTGGAAAGTTAAACGGGACGTCCTGAGTTTGCTTCTGAAGATGAATTTGTGGGGATGACAGGACAAGATGACCAGAGGAAAAGTTCTTTGAGGGCTTGTCCGATTGGACATGTCCAGTTGTGTGGCTGGAGCAATGCCTTCCACCCTGAAGCGTTGGTTGAGCATTGAAAAACATCGACGGATCCCTTCCTTCCAAAGCGGCCCTTCCATAGTGCGCGGAGCAGTTGGAAAGCCAAGTGCAGGCACGGAAAACTTTGTAGGCCCTTGATGAGAGCTGAGATACTTCACTTCCTGATTTCTCGCTTTCCTTTGCTTGGTTGCAGATGACGAGAACATGGTTGCCACGCTGGAAGAGCTGTATGGAGACATCGACGCCCTGGAGTTCTTCCCCGGCCTGTTGGTGGAGAAGACCTACCCCGACAGCATCTTTGGACAAAGTATGATTGAGATGGGGGCTCCCTTCTCCTTGAAGGGGCTCCTGGGGAACCCCATTTGCTCCCCCGAATACTGGAAGCCCAGCACTTTTGGAGGGGCCTCCGGCTTCCAAATCGTGAACACGGCGAGCTTGCGGAAACTGGTCTGCCTCAACGTGCAACGGTGCCCCTACGTGGCTTTCCAGACGCCCGATCTTGGAGAAGCCGAAGGCTCCGAGGAGAAGACGCGGCCTTCGACGGAGCTCTAACCGAGCTCCCTTGGGTTGAGTTACGCAGACAGCCCTCGACTTACAGCGCTTCGCTTAGTGGCCGCTCAAAGTTGCGGCGGCACTAAGAACGGTGACTTTGTGAGCCCTTTCCTCGCATGCATGACTGTTGCAGCATCCCCCCCCCCCCCCCACGGTCACGCAATTTGCATTCGGACACTTGGCGATGGACTCATAGTTACGATGCTCGCGGTGTCCCGGCCTCCTGGCCTTCTGACAAACCGGGTTCATTTTAACAACCGTGTGACTCGTTTTACCAACTGGCAGCGATTCACTTAAATGAACGTGGCCAGAAAAAGTTGTATGTTTTGGGCTCAGTGGAAGGAAAATGTGTGTGTGTGTGTGCGTGTGGATGTGCGGCCTGTCTCCCTCGGCTTGTAGACTAGCCCCCTCCTCACGTTTTGCAAGCGCCTTTGGGGATCCTATCCAGGGAGGAGAGGAAACAGCGGCCTAGCTGTCTGTGGAGAGCCTAATCTAAGTTAGAAGAGGCAACTGAGTCTCCGTTTGCTTTGACGCTCGAAATGGTCAGTGTAGCCTTTCTTTCTGTCTTCAGCATCCAAACTGACATTTTGGGAGGGGGACGGGTGCCCACCTTGGCTTCTATGGCAGTACGAATCTGCCTGCGTCGAATTGGGTTGCATTCCCAGATAGTAGCTGCCTCCAGGAAGGAAAGGAGGTCTAAAAAGGTAAGAGGAAGGAAGGAAGGAAGGAAGGAAGGAAGGAAGGAAGGAAGGGGAAAAAGTGAAAGAAAGAGGGAGAAAAGGAAGAAAGAGAGGGGGAGGGAGGGAGGAGGGAAGGAAGGGAGAGAGAAGGAAGGAAGGAAGGAAGAGGGAAGGAGGAAGAGGGAAGAAAGGAAGGAAGAAAGAGAGATGGAAGAAAGAAAGAAAGAAAGAAAGAAAGAAAGAAAGAAAGAAAGAAAG